GGCAACTCCACTTGCAGCGAGAGCTATTCCTGTGTCCGATGTTACTCCTGTCGCCATTTCCATTCCCGTCGCACAAGCCGCCGTGATCCCCGCTGCGCAACCGCAGGACCAACCCTCCGTTAAATCGTTTTCTAACCATTTCAACTCATTTCTCCTGAAGTTCATTCCACTCTTAACAAATCTAAGATCCCTCAGTCGCGACGCGCTCGCCTCGCTTCTCGCTCTCCTCCGCTCGCTCAACCTCCCCTCGTTAGAGTCACAACTCGCATCCGTTACAGTCAAGCCCGCATTTCTCACCTTCGCCGTCTGCCTGCTCCTCGCCGCGTCGCTCCCCGGCGTCGCTCACGCCGCGAAATCCGGCGGGCGCGTCGGCGGAAGCGCCTTCTCGTCCTCCTCTTCCTCCTCCTCGCGCTCCCGCTCGCAATCGCGCTCCGGCCCATCGCAATCCTACTCCTATTCGAACCCCTCCTCTTCCTCTTCGTACCAATCCCGCCATTACTCCGCCAACCCCTCGCGGAACTTCTTCTTTGCGCCATCTGCGCCCTTCTTTGCCCCTTCCCCCTTCTTCGGGGGGTGGGGGGGCGGATGGGGCGGGGGATGGTCCCCCTTCGCCCCGCGCCCCGCCGTAACGATTAACATGGGGGGAAGGAGTGGCGGAGGGGGCGCGTTCGGGACGATATTTAATCTCCTGGTGTTTGGGATGGTGACATACGCGTTAGTGCAAACGGTTCGAGGGTTTCTGGGACAGTGGGAAGAGGACAGGGAGCTGGAAGATGCAGAGCGGTGCAGTGTGGTGCAGCTACAGGTGGGTGCAGAGCGGTGCGGTGCGGTGTTCCTATTCCCAGGGCCTTTTTCGTTCGCTATTTTTAAATTGCACATTCGTCATTGTCAGACGGAGTTGCCAGAATGTGTATTCCTGATCGTAATTAGAAGCTTTTTAGGAACTCAGTAGTAATCAAGTGAATTCGCTGCATTGCCCCCCACGTGAATTTAGTGAGTGAATTCGAGACTGGTTAGTAAGTGAATTTATTACCCATCCTACCCCACGTGGCAGGTTGGGTTGCTGGGGGCAGCGCGCAGGCTTCAAGCTGACTTGGAGAGAATAGCAGACAGGGCGGATGTGACATCCCAAGATGGGCTGCACTACCTGCTGCAAGGTGTGTGAAGCATGTGTGAATAGACGAAGTATCTAACTGTGGTTGCTGGGGGCAGCAGGAAGGCTTCAAGCTGACTTGGAGAGAACAGCAGAAAGGGCGGATGTGACATCCCAAGATGGGCTGCACTACCTGCTGCAAGGTGTGTGAACCGTGTGGTGTGGTGTGGTTGCACATTCGCACACAGAGTCTACATCTATCACATGCATGAGATTATAACACATGAATGCTGGTGCGGTGCGGAGAGAATAGCTGGAAGGGTCTTGTTTTGAGGCGCCTCAAAACAAGATTCGCACACAGAGTCTATGTGTATCACATGCATGTGTATATATTGCATGAATGCTGATGCGAAGAGGTGAGCTGGAAGGGCGGACGTGACTTCCCAAGATGGGCAGATGTGACATCCCAACATGGGCTGCACTACCTGCTGCAAGGTGTGACCTTTGAGAACCCTCAAAGGTGTGAGCCGGTTCAAAAGTGCACATAGCGCACTGGTGGATGTTGATGGGAAGGGAATAGCTGCATGGGCAGATGTGACATCCCAAGATGGGCTGCACTGCCTGCTGCAAGGTGTGAACTGGTGGTGTGGATTGGGTATACACACACAATGCACACACGGGGTGGGCATATGGTGTACATGTGTGTGCGGGGGAGGGAGGTGGGGAAGAAAGGAGGGGGGGGGTTGCGTGCTTGCATGCGGGCGTGTGTGCATTGTGTGATTGCTGTTCAGGGAAAAATAACAGAGCGAGCGGATGTGACGTCCCTGGATGGGCTGCACTGTGCAAATTAAGTTCTGGTATTAAGTTACTCATTCCCCCGGATGGGCTGCACTGTGCAAATTAAGTTCTGGTATTAAGTTACTCATTCCCCCGGATGGGCTGCACTGTGCAAATTAAGTTCTGGTATTAAGTTACTCATTCCCCCGGATGAGCTGCACTACTTGCTTGCTGCAAGGTTCAGAGCTCCCCCCGCATCTTTTGCATTCCTCACCAACTCCTCTCCCTCTCTGCCTCTCTGTTACCCCCACCACCTGAAACCACCCCTTCCAACCCATTTGAACCCATCTTCAGAGACCATTCTTGCTCTCCTGCGTCATCCTGACTACTGCGTCTATGGATTCTCCTCTGTACGCATCTACTCCATACACCCTCTACCATGTGACACATTTTGTAACACTTTGGTTATACCTTGTTTCGTTTTTTTTTTTTTTTTTTTTTTTTTTTGTACCACGTTGGGTGGAGGGTCAGTACGAATTTCATATATTTTTCCCACCGCTCCAGTCCGCTGTGCACCGTGGTGCCACCGCTGGTGAGACCACGTTCAACTGGGAGCGGAGAAGAATACTTGATATTAAATCCCATCCTTCTTTTTTGCCTGCTCCCTGCAACAACACCATTCTTGTCTACTGTGTACCGCGATGCCAACGCTGGTGAAACCGCATTCAACCGCGTTCAACTGGGCGAGTATGGAGGAGGCAAAGAAGTGTGTCCCTTTCACCCCTCTGCCCCCCTTTCAACTCCTCTTCCCTCCTTCGAACCATTGCAGAGTGCTGTGTACCCCAATGCCAATTCTGGTGAGACGGCATTCAACCGGGCGAGCATGGAGGAGCGGAGAAAGTTCCAGGAAGAAACGGTGGTGAACGTGGGGGGCGGCATGGCGAGGAGGAGGAGGGGAGCACGCACGGTGCAGCAGGAGGGGAGCGCCACCAAGTATATTGTGGTGAGTGTGGCCTCTCTCCCTTCAGGAATTTATGCGTTTCAAGCCTCCAGGCTTTTCTCCTGCACGGTGCAGCAGGAAGGGAGCTCCACCGAGTACATTGTGGTGAGTGGGGTGGGGGGCTCGGTGGGTTGGGCTGTCTTGTATGTGAGTCTGGCTTCAAGACAGCATGGCAGAAAAGGAGGGGGGCACACACGGTGCAGCAGGAGGGGAGCGCCACCGAGTACATTGTGGTGAGTGGGGTGGGGGCTTCATGCGGGCCCGACTTGTGAGTCGACTCAAAAGGCGTCCGCACGACGCAGTGCAGCAGGAGGGGAGCGCCACCGAGTACATTGTGGTGAGTGTGGGCTCAGTGCTTGTCATGAAGAAGAGCAACAGTAGGAGGGGATGTCTTAGCAAAAGACGATAGTCTCTCTAGAAAATATTGTAACCCTTTGAAGTTTGAGTAAAACGCGAAAGTACAAGCTCAGATGTAGTTTGAGGAGAGGGGCACGCACGGTGCAGCAGGAGGGGAGCTCCACAGAGTACATCGTGGGTACACCACTGAATACCACGATGTGGTATTCAGTGAGAGAGGGGTGGGGCGTGTATGGAGCTTCAACGAGTGCATCATGGTGAGTGGGGATTCATTTGTTTTTTTACGGCTTACTAAGTCCTGCACTATACGCCAATAAGCATTTCTGTATCAGCCATTTCAGCTGTTGGTCCCTTTCCCCTCCACGGCTGTCATTATCCTCCTCACCAATCTCTAATTCTCTGATATATGTGTTTTTTTTTTTTTTTTCCCTTCATTGATCATGTTCGGGCAGGTGACCATCACAGCAGCGTGTGAGGGGACCCTCAACCTGCCCGAAGTAAAATCCGCAGCTTCTTTGAAAGAGGCGCTTGCGAGACTGGGCTCGATCCCCATTGACGAGCTTCAGGTGAGAGAGAGGGAGATGGGAGTGAGGTGAGCAGGTGTGAGAGAGAAAGATGGGAGAGAGATGGGCAGGTGTGAGAGAGGGAGATGGGAGAGAGAGAGAGAGAGAGAGAGAGAGAGAGAGAGAGAGAGAGAGAGAGAGAGAGAGAGAGAGAGAGAGAGAGAGAGAGAGAGAGAGAGAGAGAGGTGAGTGGGCAGTGGGGCAGGGCAGGTGAATGAGGGTCTATGTTATGTGGACCGTCCTCTTGGCTCTCTTGATTGTTCTTACGTTTATGAATCTTCCCGCTACCTGCCTCTACCTGCCTCTACCATAATAGATTGCCTTTATACCGCTCTGTACCGCTCTCCACTGCAGGGTGTGGAAGTGCTGTGGACGCCACAAGACCCATCTGATTCGCTGACAGCGCATGACATTCTGAGTGACTATCCTTCCATGCGCATGCTATAAAGTGACTCGTTTGAAGGTGTCCCGGTACAAGGTTATCGTAGCGTGCGGCTTGTCGGCAGCGCTGGGTTTCTCAGTCTACAAGAGGACTTGTTTGCATTGCCCGGCCATGACATTCAGGGACGATTCTGACATGCCACTATCATTGTGAAACAAGTGTATATTGTTCGTTCCCTTCTACCACCCACATTACAGCAATAAAATTCAATCGTTATGTACAGAAATACGAACCAACTATAACGATTGTGGCAAAGCATCACTGTAGCCAGCGTCCACTAGGCACATGATAAAGGCTTGGTCATGAATGAGCCTCTACATCACATCACAACAAAGGTGGCAAGGCAAGGTGTCACTGTAGCCAACATCCACGAGGCACATGATAGAGGCTTTCTGACAAATGAGCCCCTATGCAGTATCGCATCACAACAACGATGGCAAGGCAAGGCGTCACTGTAGCCAACGTCCACGAGGCACATGATAGAGGCTTTCTGTCAAATGAGCCCCTATATCGAATCAACGGTGGCAAAGCGTCACTGTAGCCCACGTCCACGAGGCACAGCCCTGCAGCATTGGGGACAGTGGAGCGCCTCTCCCCTGTTGCTGCCAACTTCAGCAATCATTACGTCATAACGGAGGTGGCAAGGCGTCACTGTAGCCCACATCCACGAGGCACAGCCCTGCAGCAGGGGCAGGGGGGGCAATGGACCGCCTCTCCCCTGTTGCTGCCAGCCTCAGTAGTAGCTATCACTGCTTAAAGCGCATTTCCTTATAGCGGAGTTGGTAAAGCATCAGTGTAGCCCACATCCACGAGGCACAGCCCAGCAGCAGGGGCAGGAGGGGCTGTGGACCGCCTCTCCCCTGTCGCTGCCAGCCTCAGCAGACAGTTGTCACCTCCCCCTGCAGCTGCCTCCCTCACTGCTGTCGCCACCAGCACCCGCACCATCTGCATAGAAAAAAAAAAGAGGGAGAGGTGAGAGGAGGGGTCAAGTGCGGTGAGTATGGGTGAACGCAAACATGCCAAAGTTGGGAGGCACGGTTGTCACCTCCCCCTGCTGCTGCCTCTCTCACTACCATTGCCACCAGCACTCGCACCATCTGATTGGTCGGGAGGCACAGGAAAACAGGGTGAGCTCAAATGTCATTCTTGACCCGATGAAGATTGCAGTGTGCCTTGATTAAAGCATTTGTTGGCAAACAAAGTTATGAAAGGAGCGTGCCTGTGGGGAGTGTGTGTGTGCATGTGTGTGTGTTTTGGGAAGGTGGGGGAGGTGGTGAAAGAGGGGGAGGTGGGAAGGGGGGGGTTATCCATTGCTGCACACGTACCCGTCGCAAGAATCTGTCTCCCACCAGCTCTACGCACAGCACACGCGAGCATCCTGCTGCTGAAGATTGTCCTGTATTTTCTGCTGCTCCTCCTGCTCTTGCTGCTCCTGCTGCTCCTGCTGCTCCTGCTGCTCCTGTTGACACGCCCTCTGAACGGTCCTCTGCAAATGCTGTTCTCACTGCCCCTGCTGCTCCTGCTCCCCCTGCAAGTGTTGCTCCCGCCAAACCAGCTTTCTCTGCAGCAACCGGCAAGCGCGCTTCAAAGGCTCGTGCTCGCAAGATGTTGCACACTGTAGCGGATCCGCTAATAAAGGGAATAGTGGGGGAATGCAATGTACAAGGAGCAAGACCATTAGGGGAGCCATGATTGCTGGTGGGCGTGAAAAATCGCCTCACTTTTTGCGGGTAGGGTAGGTCTCAAGAGCATGACATATGCTTACGACATGCATGGAAACGTCTCCACTCCACTCCACCACATGTCATGCATGCACTTCACTTCCGCGCCCCACCTCCCCACTGCATGCCCTTCACACACACCCACGTGCTCGTCACACGTCCTCTTCCATCCTCCCCTCCTCACCTCCACTCCTCACCTCCCCTCCTCACCTCCCCTCCTCACCGCCCCTCCTCACCTCCTCTCCTCACCTCCCCTCCTCACCTCCGCTCTCACCTCCCCTCCTCACCTCCCCTCCTCACCTCCCCTCCTCACCTGCCCTCCTCACCTCCCCTCCTCACCTCCCCTCCTCACCTCCCCTCCTCACCTCCCCTCCTCACCTCCCCTCCTCACCTGCCTCTGCCAGCAGCCGTGTCACGCGCAAACGCCCAGAAACAGGCGGGGCCATGGGCGCGTGCATGGGTCTCCAGAGTATGTAGAAGAATGCGACTCTGGATAGTTGCTGGACGCTTCACTGCTCACACACACACACACACCCACACACCCACTCACACACACACACACACACACACACACACACACACACACACACACACCCACCCCTCCCCTCTCACCTGCCTCTGCCAGCAGCAGTGTCGCGGGCGAACGCACGGAAGCACGTGGGGCCACGGGCACATGCATGGGTGTCCAAAGCATGCAGGGGAATGTGCACCCACAACCACCACCCCACCTACTCCACCTCCCATTCCCTCCTCACCTGCCTCTGCCAGCAGCAGTGTCGCGGGCGAACGCACGGAAGCAGGCGGGGCCATGGGCGCGTGTATGGGTCTCCAGAGCATGGAGCAAGGTGTGCACTCGGGGCACATGCATGCACGCTGGCTTGAATGGTGCAGCTCCATTGCTGCTGCCAATAAGGCTGCTGCTGCTGCTGCTGCTGCTGCTGTGGTTGATGCTGCTGGTGCTGGTGCATGCTGCTCGAGGCACATGCATGCACGCTGGCTTGAACGGTGCAGCTCCATTGCTGCTGGGAAAGCTGCTGTCCATATGTCTGCTGTTGCTGCTGCTGCTGCTGCTGCCCCTGCTGCTGCTGACGCTATTGCTGCTGCTGCCATGTCGACCGATACAGCATGACTTTTGAGTCGACTCAAAAGTCACCTTGCTGCTGCTGCCATGTCGACCGATACAGCAAGTCAGGCATTTAGTGCTCGCGAAGCAATAAGTTGCCTGAGGAACACGCGTATCGCTGCCATTAACATGCCCCCCCCTCAAATCATCGGCAGCAGCAGCAGCAGCAGCACCGCCACCACTTTCACCCCCCGCACGCTGCACTCTCATCGCCTCTTGGGATGACCCAAAAGGCGCTTCTCCCAAAGAAGGTTCTCCCGTGAATCTCGCATCGTAAGGGTCCGTAACAGCCACACATGCCGTCTCAACACGGGCAGCACGTGGACTGCATTCCAGCCCTCCTTTCAAGTCAGCTATCCTTCCATCAAACACACTCCTGCCCTCCGGTTGTAGGGCCTCCGAGCCAAGAGGCAAGGCACGGAAGCCACTCCGAGCCAAAAGGCAATCCGAACCTGTTTCAAACTCTGATCTCCCTGTGCCATTCGGTCTCTGGACGCAGGCACACCGCTGTGTGGGGGAATGCCTTGCCTCCTGCTCTACAGCGCAGAGGCAGTGCTGCCTTGACTCAGCGCACCCCTCCCACGGCAGCGTGCCCATCGCCGCTCCCGCCGTGTGGGAGAAGTGCGCAGCGCACTCCTCCCACGGCAGTGTGCCCATCCCACGGCGCTGCTCTACAGCGCACTCCTCCCGCGGCAGTGTGCCCATCCCATGGCGCTGCTCTACAGCGCACCCCTCCCACGGCAGCAGCGGCAGCAGGTAGAGGTATCGGCGCCAGCGAGCGGAGAATTGAGGGTGGAAAGAGCGTGGGACCTGAGGAGCAGGGAGGGAGGGAAAGGGAACGGGAAGAGAGAAAGAGAGCAGAAGCTGTCGTTGCAGAGAATTGTGGTTGGAAGGAGCGAGGGACCTGAGGACAGGAGGGTTAAGGAGAGAGAGAGAGGCCATTCGAGTGAGATCCAGGGAGTTACTTTTGAAATTTCTCAAAAGTGGTACAAGAACCTTCCACGTTTCTGGTGGGGGGTTTCACTGCAGCAGCGACTGCAACCGCCCCCCCTCTCTCAAAGTGAAATGCAGTGGGATACCCCCCACACTACCTTCGAAATGCAGTGGGATACCCCCCACACTACCTTGGAAATGCAGTGGGATACCCCCCACACTACCTTGGAAATGCAGTGGGATACCCCCCACACTACCTTGGAAATGCAGTGGGATACCCCCCACACTACCTTGGAAATGCAGTGGGATACCCCCCACACTACCTTGGAAATGCGGATAACTCTCAGGCTTCCGTCAGTCGCTGCATCAACAGCCGCAGCTACCGCTGTGAGATCAAGGGGTTCCTTCCACGTGTCTGGTGAGGCAGGGAGGAAGAGAGAGTGGGAGAGAAAGGGCGGGAGAAAAGAGGGCAAGAGCGCGTGCTTTGACAGACAGAGAGGGAAAAGAAGGGGCAAAGGAAACAAAAACGGGTTGACTTTTGAGTTGACTGAAAAGTCAAGGGGCGGGAGAAAAGAGGGCAAGAGCGCGTGCTTTGACAGACAGAGAGGGAAAAGAAGGGGCAAAGGAAACAAAAACGGGGAAAACATGCACGCATGGACGGGCATACACACACAAAAAGAGACAGCAATGGCACATAAGGAAGCAAAGGAGAGTCACGAAAAGCACACACTTGCCCTGCTGCATGCACGCCCTTGTGAGACGTCTCAAAAAGTTTGTCTCAAAAGTGAGTCGACTCAAAAGACACGGCAGAGCCACTCACAAAAAGCACACACTTGCCCTTGTCCGTCCTCCCCGCCACCACCACACAAGGCACCGCTACTCATACAAGGCAGCACCACTCACACACAGAAAGAAGGAAGAAGAAAGGGCCACTCACGGAAGGCACACACTTGCCCTGCTGCATGCACGCCCTTGTCCATCCTCCCCGCCACCACCACTGCTGCCCTTATAACCCCCAACCCTTCCTCCTTATCACACACAAAGAGCCCAACACAGCAAAGCTAAGGAGTGATCATAGAGAAAGAGACTCACGGAAGGCACACACTTGCCCTGCTGCATGCACGCCCTTATCCGTCCTCCCCGCCACCACCACTGCTGCCCTTATAGCCTTCAGCCCACCCTCCTTGTCCCACTCCACTCTCAGAATCCCCAAGTCCCCATTCTCATGCCCCTCCTCCCTTCGCTTTTCCTGCCCCTCCTCCCTTTGCTTCTCCTGCCCCTCCTCCCTTTGCTCCTCCTGCCCATCCTCCATCCGCTTCACCCCTCTCTTCTTCTCTCGACGCTCCTTCCATGCCTTGCTGCCGCCCTGCCCTCTATCCCTCCCCTTCTCCTGCTTCTTCGGGTGGCTCTCGCAGAAAGGGGCCAGGGCGGACTCTAGCGTGCTGGTGGTGGGGAAGGACGGGCGAGAAGTGAGGAGGGGGGAGTGAGGGAGGAGATGAACAAAATAAGGGGCTCCCCATTCAAGTGGCTCTTGCAGAAAGGGGCTAGGGCGGACTCTAGAGTGCTGGCAGGGGGGGAAGAACAGGGGGAAAGGGAGGTACGACGGGTGGTTGAAGAGAAGGCGTAGGTGCCAACACACCCTTCTCCGGTCTCTTTCCTTCCATGCCATGCTGCCGCCCTGCTCTCTCGCCTTCTTCATCTGCTTCTTACGGTGGTGCTCGCAGAAAGGGGCTATGGTGGAATCTTAAGTGCTGGTAAGGGCAGGGGTGGGAATGGGGAAAATGGGGGCCAATGGGGGACAAAAAGAAGTTGGAGAAAGCGGGAGGAGTGTGAATACCTCCTAACACAACCCCACCCTTTATCCTCCTGGTTTCGTGCTGCGACCCTCCCACTCCGACCCTCCGCTCCTGCTTCCCACAACCACACAGTAAACCACCACACACCACCACCCATTACTACACAACACCGCACCACACACCACTGCTCCCTGTTGAAATTGATATCAATGGAACGCTCCCCCATCGTATGCCACCACCAGCTGCACCTGGTAACCCATCAGCCCCCCCCATCACATACCTCTCCACCGCACCTTACCACACAGTAGTACCGCACCATACCTCTGCACCGTGACTGCTTCCTGCTGGCTCTGGTACCCATGAAACGCCCCTCCATCGTATGCCACCACCAGCTGCACCGTGCACCTGGTAACCCATCACACTGCACCCCACCACACAAAACCGCACAGCACCGCACACCACCGCACCATACCATACCTCTGCACTGTGACTGCTCCCTGCTGGCTCTGATACCCGTGGAAAGCCCCTCCATCGTATGCCACCACCAGCTGCACCGTGCTGCGCCCCTCCCATGCTCCCCCGAGCTGCCTTTTTCACACAACCACACACTACCACACCACACTGTATCCCACCACACAGCACCGCACCATACCATACCTCTGCACGGTCACGGCTCCCTGCTGGCTCTGATACCCGTGGAAAGCCCCTCCATCGTATGCCACCACCAGCTGCACCGTGCTGCGCCCCTCCCACACTCCGTCCTTGCCTCCTTGAGAAGACTTCTTCCCACCACCAGCACCAGTAGTAGCTGCAACTGTAGTAGTCTCAGCTGCAGCAGTTTCACTTGAAGCAGCAGTAAAATCGGTAGGCACGCTTTGTTGCTCTGCTGCACTCCGCTTATCAGCTGCTATCTCCTCATGATTATCAAGCATCGTTTTGGACAAATCAGAGAGCGCCACGTGTCCTGCTGCCAGGCTGGCATAGAACGCGTGCACTGCTTGCCACGGGCGGTTCTGCAGATGGGCTGTGCACAGCCTGACCAAAAAAAAAAAGGGGGGGGGGCGGGGTGGGACGGGGTGGAAGGGGTTGGGTTGGGAGGGGATGGTTTTGAAGCGCCTCAAAGAACGCGTGCTTTTTGAGTCGACTCAAAAGGGGTTGGGAGGGGATGGCTTTGAAGCGCCTCAAAGAGCGCGTGCACTTCTTGCCACGGGCGGCGGTTCTGCAGATGGGCTGTGCATAGCCTGAGGGGGAAGGGGTGGGGGGAAAGGAGGGGAATTGAGAGGGAAGGGGTGGGGGGAAAGGAGGGGAATTGAGGGGAAAGGGGTGGAGGGACAGGAAGGTGGATTGAGGGGGAAGGGGAAGGGAGGGGGAAGGGAAGGGGAAGGGTGAGGAGGAAGGTGGGGAGTTGGGAGAGGGAACACAAACACTGGCCCATGGTTCTTTCTGTGGATGAGTTGCGCACAGCCTGGTAGGGGAAAGAGGGGAGCGGGGAGAAGGGGGAGGAAGGGGGGGAAGAGGGAGCGGATGGGCGGAACACAAACACTGGCCCATGGTTCTTTCTGCGGATGAGTTGGGCACAAGCAGTGAAGGGGAAGGAGGGGAGGGGGGAGCGGCGGGGATGGGATGTGTGGTGGGAGGGCGGAGGAGGGGAGGGAGGTGGATGGGGGGGAGGGGAGCCAGGATTTAGGGCACACCTGGAGGACCAGCGGAACGAGAGGGGGAAGGGTGGCGGGGTGGGGAAGTAAGGGGGAAGGGGGAAGAAATTGGTACCAGGGTTGACCAGGGTTTTCGAGGTTAGGGCGCACCTGGAGGACCAGCGGAAAGGCGCAAGTTCGTCCGTGTGGCGGAGCATTTCCTTCCCCCGGCTGTCATTCCACAACTCGTACGCGCAGGGCGCGATGCGCGCGGGGGGAGGATCCGCGGTATCTACAGTAGTCGCAAGCGGAACATCCGCGGACGACTGCATTTCTGAAGTCAGCGTGGCAATGTGACACCGCGGTCTCAGACAGGTCAGCGCTGCAATCCGGGACAGCTTATAACGAAGCGTGAACTACGACTGCTCCTACGAGTGAAGCTGGCTCCAACGTTTCTCGTGCGGTAAAGCACGGTTCCTGTCGGTCACTTGAAAGCATGCATCGACTTGAAGGGCGCGTTCCCTCCTCCTTGAGTCAATGCGAAGTGTTACATGGAACTTTTTGTGACATTACCGTTGTACTGCGACTGCTCCGATATGCTTCGATTAAGACAGATCCTCTGGAGTGTGCACCGGGTGGGTGATAAATAGTTTTACGTAATGAAGATACGGACAGTTCACTCTGTGTTTACACTGAAAGGTAATTGTCATCATGGCTACCCGTCATTGTACATGTACCGGTATGATTAGCTAGATGCATTTCTTTGGCATAAGATACCCCTACTGGCAGCTCTTATTTCGAGCAAAAGTTTTCAAAAAAACCGACCAGGACGCGACACACCACTTATTTAGAGTTCACCCAAACTAACGACACATGTATTAAAATCTTATTGATGGCATATTCAGCATGCCAATGCATGCACCTGTCACATGCAGAAGCAGGGAAAAGGGCGTAAACAGGAGTCGGCGGGACAATGTGAATGGAATGTTCAATAGACTACACGTTGTGAATTATTAACACGAAATGCTGTGCACATAATGCCATGCAGGAAAAATCAATCATACCTTTTGACAGCGCAGTGCTGGTTTTAAGGGCTGCTGAGAGCATAGGTGTCATATAGGTATTTGACAATTGCTGCACTCTCAAACATCTTCACTCCTGTGTTAGGGTCTTCAAGGTAGGGCGCCTGAGAACAGTCAAGAAGGAACAGGTAGGAACACAGAGAAAGAGGAATCAAATACCGCTGCACAATAGCTGCACTCTCAAACATCTTCACACCTGTGTTAGGGTCTTAAAACCGAATGTGGCCGGTTTTCTTCGTAAGCACACGCTGCCTGACCGCACTTGAGTGACAATCCACACTCAGTGTATGCGAAGACAGTGGGTAACACACCATAACAGCAGCAACGCCTGCAGATTGGAAAGTAGCTGAGATGAGCTCCCGGTGTGTATGTGGTCAGGCACATGCACCCCACCCTAGCAGCAGTAATGCTTGCTCACCTGGAAATGGCCGATTCTGTTCTTCAGAGTCCCCCCCTAGAGACTGCCTCTCCATGTGCTGTGTAGGACTACCTAGCACCGCAATGCACCACAGCAAACTACCCTAACAACAATTGTGCAGGCTCACCTGGAAGCGCCCGATTCTCTTCTTCAGAGCCTCCCTCTTGGGACTGCCTCTTGGTGTGCTGTGTAGGTGGGGGCACGTGGGCAGAATTGGAATCTGAGAATTCCGAAGGACCAAGCGAGTAGGTGCTGCGAAGGTAGACAGGTTTAATGAGGCGGATGATTATGAGACTGAAGTGGGAGCAAGTGGTGCCTTACGCGTGGTAGATGTGTGGCAGTTCCAACTCGCACAGAGCTTCACGCACCAGCTTGCAGAAGGGAGAGGGCTGCAGGAGTGGCAGAGAAGACAGAGAGGGAAGGCACACATGTGTGAGGAAGGTGTAAGGAGGTGAGTGAGATAGTACAATTGAGGTAGATTTGGGGCAGCTCCAACTCGCACAGAGCTTCCCGCACCAGCTTGCAGAAGGGAGAGGGCTGCAGGGAGAGAGCAGGGAGGGGGGAAGGCACACGTGTGAGGGGAAGGTGCAAGGAGGTGAGGTGCTGCGTGTGAGGTGGATGTGGGGTAGCTATAGCTCGCTCGCACAGGGCTTCCCGCACCAGCTTGCAGAACGGGGACGGCTGCAGCGACGGCATGGATGGCAGGGAGTGGAGCAGTGGGGAAACACGCGAGTGGGGAAGGCGCCAGGAGGTGAGGTGCTGCGTGTGAGGTGGATGTGGGGTAGCTCTAGCTCGCACAGGGCTTCCCCCAACGGCTTGCCGAAGGGGGACGGCTGCAGGGACGGCATGGAGGGCTGGGAGCGAGGCAGGGGGAAACACATGAGTGGGCAAGGTGCAAGGAGGTGAGGTGCTGCGTGTGAGGTGGATGTGGGGTAGCTCCCACAGGGCTTCTCGCACCTAACCAGTCAAGACACATGGACAGTTCTGGCTGGATGGAATTGCATCTTTGCCAAGTTATGATATTGCACATAGCACAGCTGTCATGGCTGTCATAGCTGTCGCAACAGACCCACCTCATGTGTGAACCATCCCATTCCGGTCAGACCAATCACACACTGCGAATGCCATGCACTCATCTCACCTCATACGCCCACACTTCCAGTGGCTGGGGCGGCATCTTGGCTGGCACATAGCGGCTTCCCTGCATGTGGAAAGACAGGCGGTTGGACAGTACTTGGGAGGAGTTAGATGGAAGGTAGCACATAGGCCTTTGTCCACGGGGAAGGGAGGAGGATAAAGCGGAATCATTTGGAAATGGCAGCGGTAAATTGGACCGGGTTCGATATGTTTGATGGATCAATCTTCTAACCATCCAAAGCTCGATGAAAGAGGGAGAGGGGGCATGTTCAGATGGAAAAAAATTGGGGAAATTCCATGTGAGAAGAAGATGCTCATGGATCATGTGTGAGTCAGAGTGTGAAGCACATACCTTCATCATGCGGCCAATGCCTGCTAGGCCTGCAGTAATGGACTGGCAACATGGGTGGAGGAGGGATGGGTTTCGAAAGGGGGTGAGAGAGGAGGTCAGAAAAGGGGTGAGGAAGGGCGTGAGATAGGGAGGGACAGTGTAGCATGTAGTGAGTCGATTTTTGAGTCGACTCAAAAATCGAAAAGGGGTGAGGAAGGGCGTGAGATAGGGAGGGACACTGTAGCATGTAGTGAGTCGATTTTTTAGTCGACTCAAAAATCGAAAAGGGGTGAGGAAGGGCGTGAGATAGGAAGGGACAGTGTAGCAACAGGCGATTTTGGGAGATCTTAATAGACGGGTGCGACATGCCTATTTTCATACAACATGCATTTATACACTGAGTGCAATGCAGTAAATTCAATATACTGGTAGAACATCACCAGAGTAAAAAAAACATTTTGTGGCGTTAACTGTGTTCGACCCCTGTCATGATGCAAATTCTGTGTTAAAAAATGTGTTTGAAAGATTCTTGATACAAAGATTCGGCCACTCACAGTGATGGGTCCGAGCTGGAGCATGAGTGGAATGGATCCGTTGCCTGGAAGACGGGGAAGGAGTGGGCAGGAAGGGGGAGGGAGGGTGCGGGGAGGCAGGTTGGAAGAAAGGAAAAACTGAGAGAAAACAAGCAGAGGCTACAAGTCGGCATGGCACAGGGGGATGTTACGGGTGGTTAAGATTTGCCGAAACTCAAGTCATTTGGTTGGGATTTGCCGTTCGTGTTTGCGAGGTACTTGATGCTTTCGTCTGACATGTACATGCTCAGATATCGAGGCGCTTCAAAGCCGCGAGACACGAGACAACTTGTGAGGCGCCTCACAGATGATACACGTACCATATGTGTTGGCGAGGTACTTGATGATTTCATCCGACTCGTACACGCTCAAACTTTCTCGACCTTTTAGGAGCCTCAAAACTGCGACACTTTTGACTTTGAAGCCACCTCAAAAGAGGAGGCACGTACCGTACGTGTTGGCATATACTTGATGATTTCATCCGACTCGTACATGCTCACTCCCGTATTGTTGAGGCGACTAAAAATAGTATGTACGAACGACAGTGTACATGCTTACCATACGTGTTGGCGAGGTACTTGATGATTTCATCCGACTCGTACATGCTCACCCCCGTGTTGGGATCCACCTGTAATGGGCAGAAGAGAGTAGTTGCTCAGTGGAAAAATGGGACGAAGTAAGCAATATGCCATGTGTGATATCTTGTGCCCTTACGGGATGCATAGTGCTGGATGCAGCATGCAGAATGCAGAGTGTGCTATGCACGTGACATACCATGTAAGGGAACTGCCTCTTGCCGCCCATCTCAATGGCCTTGGGTCGGTATGTGGGACCATCGACAGGGCACGGGTAGAAGAGCACGTCTAGATCCAGCACTGACACCATCTCACGGACCTGGTGGGCAGGGAGAGGAAAGGAAGGGAAGCAATGAGACCACAGAATAGCGTTAAGTTGGCACATGGGCCATTGACAGGGCACGGGTAGAAGAGCACGTCTAGATCCAGCACTGATACCATCTCACGGACCTGGTGGGCAGGGAGGGGTAAGGGAGGTGAGGAAAATACAGAATGGTCTTGGGCCCAACTGACGGGGCATGGGTAGAATAGCACGTCTAGTTCCAGCACTGACACCATCTCACAGACCTGAAAGAGTTAGGGAAGCGAAGGGGAGAAACAAATGCAACAAAGCAAGGCCATGTGAAGCAATGGCATGGGCCCATTCACGGGGGATGCACAGTGGAACACGTCTAGGTCCAGCACTGACACCATCTCACGTACCTGGGAGAGTTAGGGGTGGATTCTGGTGGCATGAGGCACGGGAATGGAGATGGCACGCAAAGCACGGGTGTGGGTGGGAGTGCACGCATTGACAGGGCATGGGTAGAAGGGCACGCCTAGGACCTAGGACCAGCACGCCTAAGAACACTGACGCCATCTCACCGATCTGGGGGGTTAGAGAGTGGCGTTGGCGGGTTCGGGGGCAGGTGAGCACGACAAGGGGCCAGGCAGGCAGGCAGGAGGCAGTGGGCAAGAAAGGAACAAGCAGGGGCAGGTGATGGTGTGTGCATGCAGCATACCTTGCGGCAGAAGGGACAGCTGCAGCAGCAGGAGGGCACGAGAGCGAGAACGAGCAGCGACGTTGATGCGATTGACGGGGGGATGGGGGCGGGGAGGGGATGGGGAAGGGGAGGGGATGGGGAAGGGGAGGGGATGGGGAAGGGGAGGGGATGGGGAAGGGGAGGGGATGGAGAAGGGGGATCAGAGGCATGAAAGGAAGGCAAAAGCGTGAGACAAAGCGGAAGCATCATCTACAATAGCGAACGGGCACAGAAGGGTTACGTCTTGAATTATGAGCAACCGATGGAGGAAAGGGCACAAACGAATGAAAGCAAAAGTTACGGATGAAGTGAGGAGAGGGGAGGAAAGGGCATATAACCTGCATTAAGAAGCCAGCAAGCTGCACTGCAAGCAAAGATCATCCCTTTGCCAGCGGTGCAATTCACCAACAGGAGTGATTCTACCTCACCCTTCAAACTCGTAGATCTCGATGGGCTGGGTCACCGGCTTCAGTTCGCCCGTGGTGGTTTCCACCAGCTTGTACCCTGCAGTGGACGAGTGTGAGGCAATGAGGGTGCTATTTCAACCACTTCAACACTATTGAATAGAACAACAGCCCGAGTGCTATTGTTGAATAGAACAACAGCCCGAGTGCTATTGCCTAAATCATGGATTGTGATTGTGATTGGGATTGTGATTGTCCAGTCACTCTCCACTTGCAACGAAAAGTGAAGTCATGACTGGAGTATAGTCACTAGTTGATGTTTGTCGCTCTAATCGCCCATGACTGGTCTTAGCGCATGGTGCTAGTTCGCCACTCACTGCGCACGAGTTCTAAGTCACAGCAAATACTGACTACGGTTGGAATTAAAGTCGACTCAAGTCAGGCCCAGTGAGGTGGTGACACCAGGATGAAAAGCGTCGAAATGGTCCAGTCCTGAGACGTGGCATATTTATCCGAAGTCTACTCACCCATGACTGGCCCCAGTGCATAATCCTCGTCCTTCACTGCAGACGAGGACTCCACCTTGGCCTTGTACCTGCAGCACGCGGACGTTGAAAACAAGGAGAAGGGGTGGAAGCGAGAAGTTTAAACACATGATTCCACTTGGCCTTGTACGTGCTTAGGTGTCGTCCTTCACTGCAGATGACGAATCCACCTTGGCCTTGTACCTGGCAGCATGCAGACATTGAAAGAGAGGGAGGACAAGGAAGAACAAGGAAGAAAGAAAGAAATAGGTTGAACTTCTGAGTCGGCTTGAATGCAGACTTCAACAGCGACGATTACGGCAAAAGCATATCGTCAGCTTCAGGGCGGAAACGAAACGATTACTAAGGAAAAACTCAGCCTTACCCTTCACTGAACACGCCCGTGCCGAGGCGGAAGAGGATCGGCAACGATGCGCCAATCACGGCTCCCAGCTGCCCGCTTGCCACGGAAAATGGCTTAGGCTCGGGCGGCACAAAGTTTTCAGGTGCCCGGATGTCGTTAGATGACGACGCTGCCGCCTACGAGAGAGGAAGGTAAGGATGGCAGGTATGTTGGGAACGCTTTATTGCGATTCACTGCATTCGTTGCTGCTCTGACGAAAACAGCGCATGCATCGGTACCAAAAACCAAAAAAGGAAACCAGTAACACAAAAGCACAATATCGCGGACGAGTACAACCTAGTGAAAAAAAGAAAAAAAACAAACAAACAAACAAACAAAAGGTTACGATTCGAAGCTAGACTGTGCTTACCTGTGAGCTCGAAGGCTGGTCACCGCCTCCCATCTCGGCACGAACAACTTGTCGGAGCCCCCTGCTACTCCCCGCTACGCTAGCAGCACTCTTCGTCTGCAAGCTATTTCCGGAAACGCCAGAAAGCGATGCAAGGCTGGAGGAAGGGAGCCGTGTCGCGGCAGAAGAAAGAGCTGCCATGAAGCTGCACAACGTAGTCAAGGGAACTTGAGTGCAGGGTTGGAATTCAGGAGCCTCGAGATTGGCGTGCCGAGACTTGGTTCTGGGTAAGCTGCTCAAGATTTCTGATGGTTTTGTGAGAACGAATTCTGTTTCGAGAATCCACCAGCAGCTCATGAGGAATTCCACCTTCATGACGACGTGCGAAGCCTCTCGCATACCTCGTAGGGAAGAGCAATTGGTCTGCGAAGGTGTTACGAATCTTGACGACTGTATGCGTGGTGGTGAGTGAACAAGGTGGTCCACGTGGGAGATCTTCCGCTCGCCACGTTGTCCATCCACGATTCCAGGAGAAGTGCGGGGCGCAGGTCATATTCACTTCTAGTACAGTCAATACTCCCCACCGTTTTCTTCATTATTTCCCAAAACTCCTAAGCAAAGCACATCCATGCATGTTCCCAAAAAGTTCTAGAAGCACCTAGCTCTAAGTGCTGTTGCAACAAGATACTCGTCGCCTAACTCGGGAAAACTGACTAGGCTCACTTAGTGCGTATTTTGACTGATTTACTCTGGAGTGCCTCGCAAAAAACATCAACACATCCATATCATCTTTGTTGCGGTCTGCAGCATCTGTTAGGATAGAATGAGGCTGACTTACATTTTTTTTACAAATCCTTTCGGTGCGGATAGGCCTGCAAACAACGATACACAGCACCGAAACAAAACAAATTGCAGAAAGCAGGACCACATGGAGGAAAGGGTGAATAACCACGCTGACAAAACACCAACCTAGCTTACCCATGACTTAATCCATTCTTACCCAAATTTGGCTCATATTGTTCACCCAGTTCTACCCCACGTTGCTCCCACTCACCCCACTGCCGCCACCGTTGCCGAACTCCTCCCCAGCGCTCGGCACCAAGAGTGCATCAAGCACCTCCACCACCGCCGCCGCAGTCGGCGCACCTCAGGGTCAGGCAGCAGGCAGCGCGAGGCGAGCTTCAAACCTCCCATACTCACTCATTTCTCACTCCAATCCTACTCACACCATGCTCAGATCTCACCCGTTCTTACTGCACACCGTGCCTGCTTCTCCCATCCGTCTCCCTACTCACCCCGCTGCCGCCGCCGCCGTTGCCAAACTCCTCCCCAGCGCCCGGCACCACGAGTGCATCGAGAATCTCCACCACCGCTGCGGCAGTGGGCCGAACCTCGGGGTCGGGCAGCAGGCAGCGTCCGGCGAGCTTGACCATCTCCACAAGGGCAGGCAGGGCGAAGCTTCCCTGCAGCTTCGGATCCACCATGGCCTCCACCTTGGCCCGGTCCATCAGCTTCGGCTTCGCCTGGGGGAGAGGGGAGAGGGAGAGAGAAACGAGGGAGAAAGGAGGAGGGGGGAGGAAGGGAAAAAGTGGAGAGTGTGGGATCAGACAGGGTGAGATTTGGTCGGCCCGACCTGGCCCGTTGTGGGTGGGCGCATGGGGAATGGAAGGCCCTCCCCTCGGGGTTGGGCAGCAGGCGGCGCGCGGCGAGCTTGACCATCTCCACCAGGGCAGGCAGGAAGGGAAGAGGAGGGAGGGAAGAGGAAAGGCGCATGAGCCAAGGAGGGCCCTCTCCTCGGAATTGGGCAGCAGGCGGCGCGCGGCGAGCTTGACCATCTCCACCAGGGCAGGCAGGAAGGGAAGAGGAGGGAGGGAAGAGGAAAGACGCATGAGCCAAGGAGAGCCCTCTCCTCGGGATCGGGCAGCAGGCGGCGCGCGGCGAGCTTGACCATCTCCACCAGGGCAGGCAGGGCGAAGCTCCCCTGCAGCTTCGGATCCACCTTGGCCTCCACCTTGGCCCGGTCCATCAGCTTCGGCTTCACCTGGGGGAGAGGAGAGAGAGGAAGGAGGGAATTTAGCAGAAGCAGGAGTCGGGTGGGTAAGTGGAAGTGGTTCATCAGATTCGGCGCTGCTTGGGGGAGAGCAGCGAGGGAGGGAAGGCAATGGTGAAGTGGGAGTGAGTGAGCGAGTGAAATGGAAACAGAGAGGAGAGGGAGGGGGGAGGAGGGAAAACGGAGGGAGGAGGGAGGAAACTGAAGGAGAGAGTGTGGGGTGAGAGGGGAATGACAGGCAAGGTAGGAGGTTTGGTTGACTGCGGGAGTGAGAAGGGCAGTCAATTTACGATTCTGCAGACTTCCCAAATGCACTGCGAAACTCGGATAGAACCAGCAAGGAGGAAGTTCAGATTACTGACCTGTAAGGAGGACTTGCCAAATGCACCTGCTAGGACTTCGGGTTCACGAGTGCACTTGAAAACGGCATTGTGATTCACCCGGCGCACACGCAGTCAACGCACCCATGGCATCAATCAAATCACTCATGGCATGCACCTGGGAGGCGGACACTCACCCAGCGCACGCGGGGCTGCTTGGTGGGCGGCAAGGGAGGGTCAAACGGCCTCCTGCTGGTGATGAGCTCGAGACTCGAGAGCACACATGGTGCTTCAATTCAAATTACTCATCCAGCGCACAAGGGCCAAAGTAATCTGCCTGAGAGGCCAACACGCGGGACTTCAAATCACTCACCCAGCACACGAGGGACTTCAAATCACTCACCCAGCGCACGAGGGACTTCAAATCACTCACCCAGCGCACGAGGGACTGCTCGGTGGGAGGTAAGGAGGGGTCGAGCGGCCTTCTCCCAGTGACGAGTTCGAGCAGCAGCACGCCCATGGCGTACATGTCAGTGCGCGCCGTGCTCTCATGCACCCATGCCAGCTCCGGTGCCACTGCTCCTGATGCTAGCGCCTGGGGGGGGGATAGGTTGGAAGGGAGGAGGAGACAGTGGGGTTGTGTGGGTGGGGTGCACACATTGGGCAGCCGTGCTCTCATGCACCCATGCCAGCTCCGGTGCCACTGCTCCTGCTGCTAGCGCCTGGGAGGGATTGGATGCTAGGAGGCCCAGGGAGTGAACGCAGGCAGTAGCGAAGAGCAAGGCAGGCCTCAGAATGAGCAAGTCAATCAAAGAAAGGCCTTACATTAGAGGAAGGTCGGACTCACCACCACAGGGTAAGCGGGCATGGTGGAGGGCTTGGGCACAAGGAGCTCGGGCATAGGGAGTGCCGATAGGTAGAAGTGAGAATTGACAGTCTTTCGAGTCGACTCAAAACGAGCTCGGGCATAGGGAGTGCCGATAGGTAGAAGTGAGAATTGACAGTCTTTCGAGTCGACTCAAAACGAGCTCGGGCATGGGGAGTGCCGATAGGCAGAAGTGAGAACTGACAGTCTTTCACTTCAGAATGGGGAAGTAGAACGAACGAAAGGCGTTAATCTAGAAGGAATTCAGAGTTACCACAGAGGAAGCGGGCATGGC